AATTCTTCATTACCAATTTTTATAATATGCTTTTTAAAAATGTTACACTTTCTAATTATACAAAATATTCAATTACAAAAGTAAGGCATTAGAAAAAAAATTATTTTTAATGTAATAAAGAAAAACTTTTCTAATAGAATAAAATTAGCTCGCTGCACAAATAAAGCAACATTCATTAAAATAGTGTTACAACATTAAAAATTTACAAGAGAATATGATTATTTAAAAAAAAAAAAAAAAAAAATTAATTCATTATTTAATAAGCACGAATTCAAATATAAATAAATTTTCGCATATTTTCTTAATTAACGTAATTGCTAAGTTGTAATTTTTAAAATTGAATGCCTAAATTCATTCATTCATTCTATATATATTTATATATATATATATATATACAGAGAGAGAGAAAATTATTCTTTTTCTAATAAATTTTGAAATAGTTGGTACATAAGTTAAATTAGCTCTCATCATTAACAATGGGACACAATTCACTAAAAATGCACAAGGGAATGTATTTCAGTGTTTAAATACAAACAAAAACATAAATGTTTTTTACAATTAATATGAAATTACTATTTCTGCAAAACTGAATCTATACAAACAAATCTAATCAATACCAACTTAGAAGTTAGCCTGTCAAATCCACGGGACTACAAAATATATTTTTCATATAGAAAATATTATTAATTTTTTATAATGTAATTAATGCAAAAAATCAAATATAAATAAAATTTCATATTTTTCATAACTAATTTAAATAAATAAAATTTATATTTCATTAAAAATATTGTAACGACTAAATTCACGAAATCACGTTTTTTTAAAATACATTATATATACTATATAATATATGTAAAAAAAAAAAAAAACGTTTTTTTTTCTTGAATTTGGACTTTATATCGCTTTTTAATGAAACACAAACATGTATTTAAATGAAGGGAATGATGTTATTTTGTATATATTTGAATTTGCATATATACTATATATATATATATATACACACATAATATATTTTTCGAAAAAAAAAATGAGTTTCCGTGAATTTGTCATTATATTATTTTTAATGAGATACAAATATGTATTTGAATTAATTAAGGGAAAAACGAAATTTATTTATATTTTAATTTGAATATATAGATTCATATCCATATATATAATATACATATGCAAATATATATATATATATATATATACTACTATGTTTTGAAAAATCGTTTACTTTAAATTAATTTGGATAATTCATGAAAATGTGAATTTACTTTTAAGAAATTGTGATTAATGCTTCAAAATTATGAAATTAGCTCACTTAAATATTTATACAAAAATTTACTGAGGATCGCCATGAATAATGCCTCATGCCGCCATTAGACCAGATGGTTCATAATTCCCAGAATTTTCTCCATTAATCACCAGGCTTTTAACTTTGCATTCCCTTGACACCTGGAGACCATTTTTTAAGCTGTAAAAATCACGGCACTTTAATACGCTTAATTAAAAAAACTGACGTCATTTAACTGTCGGCGTGACATGCTTAAAATGTGATGCCGCACTACTAAGTGTTTTTCTGCTTTATTTTTTCATATAAAAATGACGACAAAGGCAATATTCTGGGACGGCAGAAAATGTTTTTTGAAAGAAGTTGCCACACTTTTAAAGAAATTTTACTTAAGGTATTTAGCGTTAGATTAATTTCATAGACTCTTAAGAAAATATTCAAGATCCCTGAGGTGTTTTTGGTTACTACTATGTTCAGCTTTTATGCACTAAAGAAGTACGAAAATGCTTAAGTGCTTCGTTTTTAACCAGATTATGTTTCGCCCAAATTAATCCATCATGAAAATTTAAGCTCTACATTTTTTCCCCTCTTTTTTTGTTTCTTAAAAAAACCAGGCTGATTTTTTAACAAAAAAAAAAATCTTATAAATATAAATGTATACCTATACTAATTAAGGCCAAAATTTTCTATTTCATTATCATAAAAAAACGTATATATAAAGGCCAGTTAATATTATAAAAGAGAAACATTCTGTTTAATGTAAAATTCAAAATTAATTTAATAAAATCTAGAAAACAGGATTTAGAATTTTAAATATATTTTTATTTAATAATTAATACATCATGAAAATTTAAGCCTACATTTATTCCTCTTTTTATTTCTTAAAAATTCCAGGCGGAATTATTAAGAAAAATATTATGAATATAAATGTATAGCTATAATGTTTAAAAGCCAAAAATTTTTAATTTATTAATGGTAGTCGTTTCAATTTATTTGAGTTCCACAAATATAATAAAGCACAAATAATATTAATATTATAAAATATAAATTTAATAATTAATCCATCATGAAAATTTAATTTTTTAACCATTTTTTTCCCTTAAAATAATGCCAGGATGATTTTCTAACAAAAAAAAAAAAATAAATATAGTTATAATTATTAAAGACAAAAATTTTAATTTTTTATTGTCGTTCTTTTCAATTTGAGTTTCCCAAATAATATTATTATTAAAAAATCAAAAGATTAAGTTTGACGTAATTTTCAAAATTATTTTAATAAATTCTAGAAAACAATATTTAGAATTTTAAATATATTTTATTTAATAGTTAATCCATCATGAAAATGTAAGCATTAATATTATCTCTTAAAAAAACAGGCTAATTTTATAACAAAAAATGTTATTATAAATTAAATATAAATGCATTGTTATAATTATTAAAGTCAAAAAATTTTTTTATTTTATTATTGGCAGTCTTTTCAATTTATTTGAGACCACAAATATAATAAAGTGCAAATTATATTATTATCATAAAAATCAAAACATTATGTTTAATGTAATTTTCAAAATTAATTTTAATAAATTCTAGAAAACAAGATTTAGATGTTTAATATATTATATTTAATAATTAATCCATCATGAAAACGTAAGCCTACATTTTTTATTTCTTAAAAACCAGGCTGATATTCTGACAAAAATATTACAAATATAAATGTATAGCTATAATGTTTAAAGCCAAAATTTTTTAATTTATTAATGGTAGGCTTTTCAATTTATTTGAGTACCGCAAATATAAGAAAGTGCAAATGATATTAATATTATAAAATCGAAACATTCGGCTTAAATTAATTTCAAATTAATGTAATCAATTCTAGAAAACAGGATTTGGTATTTGAATACAAAAATTAAATACATCTTTTACTATTTTTATTTTTAATAAACCAAGCTGATTTCCTAAGAAAAAAAAATATTATAAATATAGATGTGTATCTGTAATTGTTGAAGATAAAATTTATTTTATTTTTGCTAGTATTTCAATTTATTTGTTTGCCACAAATATAATAAAGTGCAAATGTTCATAATGTTACAAAATGGAAATATTTGGTTTAATGCAATTTTCAAAATTAATTTAATAAATTCTAGCAATCAAGATTTATTTCTTTTTAAAAATGAAAATTTAAGCATACATTTGTTATTATTTTTATTACAGACTGATTTTCTATTTATTCTTTTGCCACAAATATAATAAAGTGCAAATGATATTAATATCATAAAAATCAAAACATTCGTTTTAATGTGATTTTCAAAATATATTTAATTAATTATAGAAAAGAAGATTTAGAATTTTAAATATATTTTATTTAATAATTATTCCATCATGAAGATTTAAGCCTACATTTTTTTTTTTTTTTTTTTTTTTTCTTAAAAAAATTAAGCTGATTTTCTAGCAAAAAATAAATATAATAATTTGAATATAGAAGTTAAACTATAGACATTAAATTCAAAAAAATATTTTTTTATTATTTTTACTACTTTAATTTCATTTGCGTGCCACAGATATAATAAATATTTATATAAATTGTTAACAATATATAATTGAACTAATACCACTACAACTAATTATAGCTAATTATATTTATTAAATATAGTTATGACTACCTAACACTTAAGACTGAACGTGTCTCCCAGTCTGAATGAGAATAATTTTCATTAACGGCACAGGCTACATAAAATTATTCATTTCGAGCAAAATTCTAACAGAGCTTCACTCAAATGCAATCTGATTGAAGTTCAAAGGATTTTTAGTTTTCAAAACACCATATTCAAATGCCAGTTGATTACTTTTAAGCCTCTTACCTCTTTTGATTCTTATAATTATAATAATAAAAAAATCTCAGATATGGAGTTCTACATTTTTGGATGTTTAAACAGGAAAATTATGTTTAAACGAACACCAAGCTTCTTTAATAATGTTCGATTAAAATTTTTGTCAAATTAACTTGAAATTTCCTTTTAATATTTATATTACATAGGCATTCTTATTAATTTAACAATATAGAAAGTATTTGATTTATGTATTTCAAATTTAATCATTATACTTTATTTAAATTATAGAAATTATTAAAAATTAAATTTATAAAAATTAAATTACTTTTTATGTTAAATTTAGAAAAAATATTCAGATTAATTTTATAAAAATAATTAATTTATAAATTTAATATTAATTAATTAATTAATTAGTTAAATATTTTTGTATTAAATTTATCAAAATTATTATTTATTATTTAAAAATAAAATTTATTTAAATTTTCATATTTTATTTTATATTTTACGTTAAAATTTTTATATTTTATTATAAATAAGTTGGCAATGCTCATTTAACATAGAGATTTATTAGTTTTGTATTTTTATTAAGTATTGCTTTTGAGCCTTATTAAATTGTGCTGCAAATTATTTTAGAAATATTAAGAAAATGTCTAAAAACAAAAAATATAACTATATTACGAAATTACAAAGAAAACTAATGCAATGCAATATTTATATTTCAGCTATTACATTATCTAAGTTCCTATTTAATAAATAAGTAATAAACATGCCTAAAATTGTTATGACATTGATGATATTTTGCAAATTTTTAACGCTTAGAAAAAGCAAAATATGTTTTTCAACATTTTTTTAGATATATTACGAAACCCAAAATATATATAATAATGAACGACAAAAAACGGCCATTCACCATGCTGAATATACCGGTTCTCGTTAGATCACCGAAGTCAAGCATCATTAGGGGGCGGTCAGTACATGGGTGGGCGACCACCTGGGAACACCGTGTGCCGTTGGCATTCACAAATTTGGGACCTGAATGGCCGAGTGTCTAGCGCTCGGGGCCACAGGTATCGGGTTCGAATCCGGCGTGCCATGGATGTTTGGAGTGGTTCGGAATCCACTTTAGGCCGTAGGTCCCGGTCTCCTATGACTGTAAGAGCGTCACAGACTAAATCGGACTTCTACTATGGGTGCTCCATCACAACAGAAGCTGCTTCCCTTTAATCATGAGTATGTATGGGCTCACTGTGGGCTTGGCCGCCATCCAAGTGAGGATAAGAAGTAACAACAAACAAACAAACAAACACGACAAAAAAAATATCGGGATATTTGTAGGTTGATTTTAACTATATATGTATTCTAATAATTAATATAATTTAATTAAATTTTAATGTATTTCTAATAAGAGTTAATATTACATTATTAATGGCATTATAAGCATTAAAATATTACATTATCATGAGTTTTTTTGTATGCTGTTAATTTTGTGAAAAATCTTGTTTTTCAGATAAGATAAGTTGAAGAAAAAAAAAATAATGCAATAGAAATCTAAATCATACAATATTTTAAATCAACTGGAATCTTACATAATGCATTCCTATTAATTAAATCTTAGAATGAATTTAGTTTTGAAATATAATAAAATTATTGTTTTTTTATTGTTATTTATTTATTTTTGTTGAAATTTCCATTTTAAAATACATCATTGAAGCATAAATGTGCATAATGTACATCAGAAAGCCAGATCGTGCAATATTTATGGTCGAACAACAGCACGAAGATATTCGAGAAGCTATCTTGCCATTGTAGGAGGTGTAATTAACAGAAAGCCGTTGGTACAATTCCATCGTATAGTCTCAGCTATCTCCGCATCTGCACCATTTACACTTGCCAAATCTAATCTTCAAAGTAATTTACAGAACTCAGATACATTTTCCGCTTTTTGTGAATATCTTAACAGCAAGGATTAGAGCATAAGAATTTGAATGTGTAAGCACAGAAACGTGTGTGCTTTAAAAATTACAAATTACAAATAACATCAAAAGTGCAGTTAAATTTGTGTTTTTAAATTTGTTTAATAGGCGATGCTATTATGTTGCAAATTGCATGATTAACATTTGAATTGTTTTAATTAACTTAGAAATTTATTTCAGTCATTATTAATTAAACTATTCAAAAAATTATTTCTTTAAAAAGACTAAATTGCCCATGAATGTTTTTATCTAAATCTCAAATATATATATATATTTATATATGTTTATATATATATATATAACATTGAAAAATATTTAGTCGTACTACAATAAGGAACTGCATCCAAAACCTTATCTACAGTAATAAGTGTATTAATAAAATAATCACGTTAATATTAATGATTAGTGCCATTATCACTAATTATAGCTTAAAAGACAAAATTGCCTATGAATGTTTTTTTACGAAATCTTAATATATATATATATATATATTAAGCTGTATTGAAAAAGAGATCGTACTGCAGTAAAAATCTGTATCAAAACCTTATCTATAGTAATAAGAACTAATATAATTAGTAATATAATCATAAATATTAATGATTACCACTGTTATCGCTAATTATAGTTAGACTAAATTGTCCATGAATGCGTTTTTACTAGATCTCAAGAACTATATATATAAACTATATATACATATACGTATATATATTCTATATATAATATATGTATTAATAAATTACTACAATATGCATCAATATCAAAAGTATCTATATTAATAAGTAAATTAATATAATTAGCAATATATTATTATCACTAAGTTTTAAATGTAAATAAAACAAAAAACTCTTTTCTGGAAAGTCTTGTTTAATTAACATTCAGATTTAATGTTTTTTTTAAATCATTTTGTAAGCATATATCGCAATTTCATTTTTGTTTTTTATCACAATATGTTGTATATTTGAGCCTAAACTACGTATCTAATTAATTATATCAGAAATAAAAAGAAAATTTTTTTTCAAAATGTTGATTATTATTTAAAACGTTAAATATTAATGTTAAATGTTAAATGTTAATTAATGTTATAAATGTTAATTAATTATATCTGAAATAAAAAGAAAATTTTGAAGGAATCATGATGTATTTAATGAATTTTGGAAATTAAAAATTGTTTT